TGTAATTGTTTTCACTTGCAAAGGTTGAAGATATTTACAAAATTTCAATGTTCTTGTTGACTTGTTTTAAACGAATTCTCTTAAATGTTATTTGAACATTGTTTGGATTAATATGAAATGTTGTAATATTGATATGTAGTTATATTTACAAAATAATTGTCATATTCATATATTCACCAAACAACTATATTTCATTCAAAACTAAATCATACAAAAGGTTAAAACGGTAATTTGTTGTCATTTAGACTGTCCATTCATAACAGTTACCAAACAACCATATTTCATTATGCACTATATCATACAGAGTCTCCTAATCATTCTGTATCAAATCATTCAACAATTGTCAAACAACCCATCAATAACATAGCAAGTAATAATTGTGTAATTTAAGATTTGGATTATTATTATTTATTTATTTAAATATACTTCTTAATATATAATCCTTAAAACAAATAAATATATGTCGTCCTAGTCTTTGTAACTTCATCTATATTATAACATACAAAAATGTCACATTCCATTTACCATCAAATGATTAGTCTATTTTAGGCCATGCATATGAGTTCGCCTCCTCTTTAATGTGATTGTCATTGATATACAAATTAACATATTTTCCAATAATACCCTCATCTCGTATACTTATATACATTTAAATTATCTATGTCTGTCGGTCCATTAACATTATTACAAATAAATTGATGCTATATCAAGAATGTAATCTACTGAATATTCATACATCTTTCAATAAAGACGAAATAAAAGAATTTGCTAGACTGTAATAATACTATCAGCTTTTTCTTAGGTAGATGAGCATCCTAACTTGGAAGCTTTGCAGAATAAAAGAAATGTTGAAATACCTCCTCCAACGGTTAACCCACATGATTTAGTTTTCATTTCCCCCCCCTTTCTTAAATTATTTGCTATCTCATATTACTTTGACTGGTTCTTTGACCAAACCATATATTTTAGGATCGGTTCGTTTCCAACTCTACATAGAGGTAAGGTACAAGGGGTAGGATATATGTAAACTTTGCTTCTATCTCAAAGGATAAGAGATGTTTCCATGATACCCCATTGCAAAACAAAAATTAAAAGGAAACATGTGTGAGAAGTAGCAAAGGAGTTTATGCAAAGATAAAACAAAGGGTTATGGTGTAGTGATTGAGGTCCTGAGACTATGGTGGAATATCCCATCTGTCCAAGTTTGATTCCAAGCATACACAACAATTGTGGCCATTGAGTTTATCATGATTGATTTCTTACGGTCATAATTTGTCGGGATTAGTTCAGGCAAAGCCTGAGACACTTTTCCAAAAAAAAGATAATACAAACATAGCAATATGACTTGTGTGGGCCTGACACGGGATGCATGTGGGCCTAGCATAGGACTAATGGTCCCGTTGTTTTGTATTTTTTTATCCAATCACTTGCATAATGTTGATCAAAGGATGGTAACAGTCATAGGATTCGGGCACGAGTTACTGATAAGTGTGTAAAAGCATACACTTTAACACCTAATTGTCATTTTATTTCACTTCATTTTACACCTTTCCCAATCCTATATTGAGTCTTTTAGTCTTATTTTATGGTTTCACATTCATTGGAGCTAGGATGCGAGAATGGTACTGTTTTGCGTATTTGGTGAATAAAATGTTGACATAAACATTGTTGTAGCAGATGTATATGTTGTTGCAACACTGGATACTGGATATTGGCACAATTGGCTCAATCGTGTTGATAATTTGAAAAGTCAAGTTTTGAAGAAAGACCTCTTCTAGTATTGATAGCAGACGATTTAGATGGAAGATGCTACCGCAAAAATACCATAAACTTTTGTACTAAAACATCTTGTGTACTAAGACATCTTTTCTTTTACCCATTGGTTAATAACCAACCACTAGTACTTTTGATTCCCTCTTGCTAGTATATATATGGGGGTAATCTTTTTAACAATTGTAACACTTTGAACGATATCACTTTGTAATCAGGAACAAAGCTTCATCTAAGCTTTGGGTCCTTGTTATTTTTTAATATCATTTTGCAAGTACTTTTAAATGTTTTTCGTCACTATCAGTTGCTACAACAATCTTTCCAGCTTTCTCTTTACTTTTCGTGCAGAATTTACTTTTACATCATTTATATTAAGTCATTTCCATTTATGTCATTTACTTTTAAGCACTTATATCCAGTCATGATAGGCTAAATACCCTAGTATGGGATCACGCCAAGTGTTAGTTGATGTTTGCTTGTTAATAGCAATTTATTTCGCTATTCACAAGTGGTATTAATATTTCATCTGGTAATCTTTGACAAATTGACACATGTTATTTTATTCAGATGAGTTGGACTTAAAATTAAGACCACGTAAATATTTTTATTAATTGTGAGGCTATAAAGAGTCGTCATAATCTTATGGGTTGCAAAAGTATATGGAAAGAAAGGCAAGATTTGTACTAGTTTGGGATTGATGCATCACCAAGTGCACTTCCAACATATGGTCTAATCTGCACTTTTTTGGAAGGCCGTTTAATCTAGTAGTGATGTAAAGAGCTATTTATAGAGCAATATTCATTACACTTCGTTGTTGAAATCAAACATGATCTTGCACCCATACTATCTTTTAATTATTGTTGCATTTCAGTATTTAGTTACCAACTCTCGCAAAGATATTTTCTCTTTGAAGCTTTATTGCTTCCAAAAACTCTTTTCTGAAATTTCACTTTAAAGTTAACTTTTGTGACTCTCTTTGGATATTAAATCTCTGTGGAACGATACTTGGTATTACTTACCATTATTACTTGCTTTGGACGATACTTGTAAACCATGTATACTTGCATGATTTACTTGTTATTATAGCCTTTTGAGGGTATAGATTCCTCCACACCAGGTACCTTTGCATAAACCGAAGCAAAGCGCTCACCCTCATCAAGTCTTTCTTAGCAAGAACTTCCATGACACCATTTGAGCAAGAGATCAAATCCGGAACTTCTGCTTCAGGAAAAGTTAACAGCTTCTAAGGATTCCTTATACCATGCCATCTTTTCTGATACATTCTATTTCACCCTCTAAATGAACTAAATTGGAATGTAATTTAATCAAAGGATTTCACCATTTTAATTCCAATGAACCAAATGCTCCTCTTCATTCATCTTGACACTAAAAAAACGTTCAGAGCATTTCCTCTTGATTTTTGAATTCGAAAGAACTTTTTGGCAAAACATTAGATGAACAAACGATGAACGTTCAGAAAATCAAGAAAATCAAGATTAGATAAAATTCGTATTAGATATTTTAATAGTTCGAATATTCAAAAATAAAAAAACTACTCGCTTGAATATAATTTATTTTAAAGATTTTACCTTTTATTTGTTTTATTTTAAATTAACAACAAAGAAATAATTGGAGATAAGACTCTTTCAAGTTTTAACAACTTAAATTAAACCATTTACAATCAACTGAATTCTGCAACCAAAATAATAAATTCTTTTAAACCAAATTGGGGTAATGCAAAATGTATGTTTATTGAGCATTTATAGAGTTCCATAAATGAACCAACGAATGGTCAACATCATCATAGTCTTTTCAAATAAAAAGTTTATGTCTTTATAATTTGGTAAACTAACTGGTAGATGATAAGCTAGCTGATGACTGATAAGCTAGCTGTTAGCTTATAAACTAACTGATGAACAAATTATATTTGGTAAAACCAGTTGATGAGAATATAAAATGATCAAAAATGATATCTTGAAAAATTAATTAATTACAATATTTCAACATATAATTGAAACAAATCTCTAATAGTATAATATATTAAGTAATACAAATAAGATGGTAAAAAATTAAAAAATAATAATAATATAGTGATTAAAAAAATTTCAAATTGATTATTGTAAGTATTATATATATTTGAATTTGTTAAAACAAATATTTTAAAAAAATCTATTATTTATGATTTTAAATAACATTATATATAATATGAATAAAAAATAAAATGGTCCAATTCACATATCTTAATAGATTGATTTTTTTTTTAAAAATAAGTATAATTTTAATTTTTGTGTTACATAAACATCATTAAAATTGTTGTATTTGTATTTTGGTAACTAAATATTTAATAATAAAAATTAAAAAAATAATAATATGAAAATAATTGATGTGATTAATTAATAATTAATTTCTCATATTAATTAGTAATTAATATTAGTAATATTTAAGTTTTACTAATATTTGTTTATAATTAATAGTAATAAATAATAATTAATATTAATGAGGGTTATAATTGAAAAAAATGACAATAATCTACCAAAACGTTACTCTAAGTAACGTTTCAATAAGCTAATTTATAAGTTAACTCATGTGCATCCAAAAAATAAGTTAACTTATAAGCTAACTTATTTTTGTCAAACAATATATGATTTTTTTTTATCATCCATGTAAAAGAAAACCATAAATTAAATAAATTTATATCAAACAAAATAATAGGTCACATGAAATTTTGATATGCAATCTCATAGAAAAATCCAGAAAAACACAACAATTTTCCCTATTTTAAATAATAAGTTTTTGAACGGATAAATAATTGAATTTTTTTCACATTAAATGATTACGAAAAAATTGGTCATTTTGTTAATACATCAGGTATATTTTGGTCGTTTTGGTGATTTTCCCTACAATTTTTCCTGATAAGTTAGATGCAAATTTTTTGGGTTCAAAGAATATAAGCAATTTTAAAAGTTCAATATCTTATTTATACAAAAAAAATGTTTAAAAACCCAATCATTTAAAATAAAAAATTAAATAATTTATTTATTAAAAAAATCGAGAACTTAATCAATGAAAAAATTATCGGTTTTTATGAAATTTTTTCCCAAATTTTTACATGCAATTTCTTAACGGAAAGTTTACGGTTTAACAACGTTCCAACAAACCAACCAGAAAAGCGTATGGTCCAGTCTGAACAAACCCCACTGAATCACCTCCACCATCTATCTTTCACTATAAAATATATAGATTCTCCTCGGTGCTCTCAATTCAATCTTCACCTTGCTTCCCATTCCTGATAAACCCTAAAAGGAAATGTCAACATGGAATTGGGTTTTTGCTATTTTCTTCTTAATTTCAGTTCTATGTAGCGTAACTTTGTCTGATTCAGGCCCGATTGCTCAACAGAAGTTGGACCAGGTAAAGGACCTTCCTGGTCAAAGTTTCAATGTCGACTTCGCACATTATGCTGGCTATGTAACTGTGAATCAAGAGTCTGGGAGAGCTCTCTTTTATTGGTTGACCGAGGCTGTTCAGGATCCTGCTTCCAAGCCTCTTATTCTTTGGCTCAATGGAGGTTCAATACTCGATATGCTTTTTTTTCTTACTGTATCGTATTTCTATTTAGTTCTAAATCCAGATTATGGGTACTTTCTGAGTTCTGATCATCATAAATCATTGTGGCTGGAAAGTGATCGTAAATCTAGACCCCTTCCGTTGTTCTATCTCGTATGACGTCATAGCCTTGGATCAGAAATATTTATGGGTTACGATGGAAACTGATGTTATTGTTTCAGTTTTCTGATATTTAACTGGATTTGAAGAAGTTGTTATTGAATCTAGTATCTTCTTAAGATATTTTCTGGATAAGGCATTTGCAACAAAGAAGGAAAACACACACAGGCATGTCAATTTTGAATTTTAAACCTTTACCCAATTGGTTCAAGAGAGTCATAAATACAGGTTCCACCAGAGGCCACTGGTATTTAATTGGAACTTCTTTTTTATATTAATGAAATGCTTTCATAGAGTATGGTAGTTGGTAGTTACTCAACATATGTCTTTGAGTGTGTTCTAGGTTACTCTACCTTTCTGTTTATATGTCTATATGGTGATCTTAATGTCGTTGATGGTTTGGTTTAAATGTGTGATTAAGATTTACAAGAGACTGAATGGGTTTTGGTTAAGCTATATGTCCAAAACAATAGCACTAATAATTGTTAGTGATGGAAATATAGATGGGATTTGATGTAAATTGATGGGACGTAGAGAGTATACATTTGTATTTGTAATGGTAATAAGTACAATGTTAACCACAAAGGTGGTGCCTGATTGGTTTGAGCTTGGGCTCCAAAGGTCAAAAGTATCTGGAGGTCTCTGGTTCAAATCCAAGGAGGAATAAATATCCCCTTGTGGCCATAGAGGTTCAAATGCGGTGACTCCTGGCTATCCACAAAGCAGGTGGTCGCCCTGGGATTAGTCGGCTCGCATAGCGGGTTGGGTATCCAGGTTAATAAAAAAAAGTACAATGTTTGGGTTTACTTTGATTTATCTTGTCGTATTAAATATGAACCGAGTTGCTCAACAAGTATGTTTTGTAGGGCCTGGATGTTCATCTGTTGCATTTGGGATGGCTGAAGAAATTGGGCCATTCCATGTTGATAAAGATGGAAAGTCTGTTTACTTGAACCCATATTCTTGGAACAATGGTGGGAGTTTGTATAATATTTTTTAACAAAATTAGTATAAATTTCATTATTAGAAAACTTGTTTAATAATTGTTAACTGCTTTGCAGTGGCAAATTTATTGTTTCTTGATTCCCCTGTTGGAGTTGGTTATTCTTACTCAAATACTTCTTCTGATCTTATGAGCAATGGAGATAAAAGAACAGGTATAACTTCAAACCTTTGATATCTTACACACACACACACACACACACACACACACACATATATATATATATATATATATATTTGTGTGTATCATTATGATGTTCATTCACTTTCTGCCTTCTTGATTGATATTATTGTGTTGCAGCTGCGGATTCACTTGAATTTGTATTGAATTGGCTTGAGCGGTTCCCTGAATATAAAGGAAGGGATTTCTATATAACAGGCGAGAGCTATGCAGGTAAACGAGTGTTAGATACGAGGATGAAATATTGTTCCCCTTTTGGCATTTTGCAATACTAGGCCCAAATATGAATGTGGTAACCAATTTATTAAAAGAACTAATTTCCATATTCAAGCTGCCATTGATTCTTTAAGATGGGACAATATAATTGTTACTTCACTTGTATAATATAAGATGGTAAGAAATGTTTTTGCAGCCAATTAGAATTGCTCAAGTGGGTGTGGTTTTCCTAGTCTTCTGGAGATAAAAGAAACCCTATTTGTGGAATGTCGTACAGAAATGCTAACTGTTAGGGGGTCTCTTTGAACTTTTGGGGTCTTTCGAAAGAATCTGTGAAACTAGACTTGCATATCAATTCCTCCTCATCTAATGTGATTTATGGTAATTTGAAAAGTTTCAACTTTTCTCAGGACATTATGTTCCTCAATTAAGCCAAGCCATTGTGAGATATAACAAAGCCAATGCAGGAAGTCCAATTAATCTCAAGGGTTACATGGTATGGATTTTTCTCGGACAAATTTTGTTACATGTTCACTACTATCTGCATTTTCTAAAAGATGATGGAATATATCTAACACAGGTGGGGAATGCCCTAACCGATGATTATAGTGATCATGTTGGACTTTTCCAATTTATGTGGGCAGCTGGTATGATTTCTGACCAAACTTACAAGAAATTGAACGACGTATGCAACAAGGAATCCTTTATTCACCCCTCAAGCGAGTGTGACCATATGACGGATATTGCTTATCAAGAAATGGGCAACATCGACCCTTATAGCATCTTTACTCCTCCTTGTAGCACCAACGGCATCACTAAGAGGCTTCTAAGAAGATGGCATGTGAGTAGTTCCTTTTTGAAATGTCCACAATATATGCCACACTGAAATTTTAGAGTTTCTTTAACGATTGGCTATTCAGTCAAATTGTTTGGTTACCAAATAGAAGACTATTGTAGCTATTAAAGCCAAAGGGTCCAAAAGCACCACTCTTACCGTCTCATGAAAGGTGCAATGCTTGATTTATCAAATATTCAAAATACCTTCTAATAAAGACAAAATGAAAGAATCTTGTGGACTCTAATCAGTACCATGAACTTTTTCACATTGATGATGATAGGCAGATAAGTAACTTAACTTGTATAACTTTGCAATATGACAGAATGGTTGCAATTTTCAAAAGAGTTTATGAAGATAGTCGGTTTGCTTCTCAATATTCAGGAATGGTAGGACTTACTTTTGTGTAGAAAGGGGTGGTATAAGTTCTTATTTAAACTAAAATCCTCTAATCATTAGATATACATGTTAAAACTTAAAAGATGTCTATCTTAGAGGCTTTCTTTATATGGGGGTGTGAGTTGATAGCATATATGTTGAATGCAATCTTATTTTATATCCAGATACACATCTCTTGTTCTAGATGCATATGATATGAATGTTTTACTGAATATGGATATTATCAACATCTACATGTTTACTCAAGTGCTCGTTATTCAAATAATTAACGGAACATCTTGTCGTCTGACAGAATGTCGGGCAAATCGGGCAGAGTTATGACCCATGCACTGAGCAACATTCCTTGGTTTACTTCAATTTACCTGAGGTCCAAAATGCACTTCATGTTTATCAGAGTAACAGCAAATCAAGATGGGAAACCTGCAGGTACTACTTCAATATTAAGATATAGGCTACCAATTGAGCATCACCTAATATTGAATGATGTTGGGAAATAAATATGTGATCTTATGTATGATGTTGGGATAAATAAAGATTGACCACTAATGGTACAAGCGGATGGAACCTAACAAAAGAGCGATAGCTTTGGATTCAATTCTCGAATTAGAGGGACTATGCACTCCAAAATCTGTTAGTTACTCGCTAAAAAAACCAAACGAGCCTAATATATCCCACCAGGAGGTAGGATATGGGGGTTCGATGTGCACAGACTTGACCTCTACAAAGTGGAATAGTTGTTTCTGTGAAGACACCTGACTTGCGAGAAGTGTGCTAGAAAAAGAAGTTTCCCCAAAGAAATAGAAGAAAGAGCAAGCGGTGAAGGTTCGATAGAGACCTGAAACAAGAAACAAGAAAACACAAAAATTATGTTAGAAGTCAACAACATCATACAAGCACCGCCACACACCCCTAGTCTAAAATGCTAACCTAACTTCCGGCTCACTACCCTACCCTCAACCTCTATCTCCACAGATCCCGTCTATGCTAGCCATAGATATCTCCCCTAGTCTGCTACCCTTATCCCACGTCTCCAATAACTCCTATCAAAGGTCATGTCTTCGGAAATGTCTAAACCGCCATGTCTAACCTCTATTGCTCATCCCATGTCCTCCTCGGCCTACCACTCCTCCTTGGCCCCTCAACTATCAAACTTTCTATCCTCACTAACCAGAGCCACCATTGGTCTAACTTCCAACTTGTCACTTAACACTCACGTCCATACAACATAGATGGTTTTCTTAGTTTCTCCCTCCATTGGATAAAAGGTTTTCTTTGCATCTTCAATCTTAACACCTATGTTTTACAAAACACAGCATCAATTAAAATATATAAATAAATTGTATTTGGCAAGTGGTTGAAAGTTATATTGTTTGACCTCAAAGGTCAAGATGAACATCTTTTTCTGGAGAAGTAGGTTGCGACTACCCACAACTTATCTATAACCACTAATGTTCCTTGAAACGATTATATCTCGAAAATGGCATATTAATATGATCAATAATGACTTAAATTTGTTCTGCAGCAATGTTGTAGGGATGTATTGGAAGGATTCTCCTATATCCGTGCTTGATGTCCATCAAGAGCTAATAAGTTCAGGGCTTCGTGTCTGGATATTCAGGTCCTTCTTCATACTTCATTCATAATTTTCAGAAGACAATGCCACCGATTTTGCTCTTAATTTATCTTATTTTTTATTTACAAGTTTTATTTTGTTTTAGTGGTGATACGGATGCAGTGATTCCCGTTACTTCTACACGCTACAGCATAGACGCTCTCAACCTTACGACAATCAGCCCTTGGCGTGCCTGGTACGATGACGGCCAGGTAATTCCATTCATCATCAACAAAGATCTACATTTGTCTGATTCTTGTTATTTTATCCGCATGGTCCCACAGGACTTGTGTGAGCCCAACATGGGATTTTTTTTCGTAACTGTGGGGATCCAAGCCAGTTTGTGTTCGCTTCTACTAATCCCACAAGACCCTTCTTTTGTATTTTTCTATCCAATCACTCGCATAACAATGGTATAGACGCATGACGTGTGTGACCCATATGACGTGGGTCACACAGGGATGTGGCTCCACATGGAATGTGCTGGTCGGATTGCTTTTTTTTTCTCTCCAAGCGTGAAAGGATGTAATTTAAATTATGATTGAAATAGGTGGGAGGATGGACGCAAAAGTACGAAGGATTGACTTTTGTAACAGTGAGAGGAGCCGGTCACGAGGTACCTTTGCATAAGCCGAAGCAAGCACTCACCCTCGTCAAGTCTTTCTTAGCAGGAATTTCCATGGCGCCATTTGAGCAAGTGATCGAGCCCAGAGCTTCTGCTTTAGAAGAAGTTAGCGGCTTCTAAAGATCAACTCATACCACCTTTTGCTGTCTTTGTTAAACACTGTCTTTACTCTCCTGTTGATACGAATAAAATGTTGAGACTTACCTTAGAGCATATTCAACAGATTCTCTTTCAGATTTAGCAAATTCTATAGAACTCAGTAAGTTTAAAATTGGGACATTACATTTCATTCATTGTCATGCAAGGTGAACTAAACCAATCTATTACAAAGGTGAACACATCACATATATTAATCTCATGTACAACTCTTTTCATTCATCCATGATAATATCGCTGATATCCCGATGTCAGTCCACATTCATACGACAACATTTTCCATACATTTGTATGGTGTTTTCTTGATTAGTGCCACAATTGTCAAGAGGTCTGCATGATCTTTTCTTAATCGCCTGTCAGAGCCCGTGGTCTATGCTCAAAAGTGAAGAGAGACATCCCTGTTTGTAAAACAGCTCTTACAAATCCCATATTAGCAGTTAATGTTGGAGCATGCCAATGATCTCCTGTACCAAAAACAATCTTGTTCTTCATCGCCAGTTTTCTTGTAGTTGGAAGGCTCGTCATGCGTGTCGAAGGACTATCTGGAACAACCACCACATGTTTTAGCAACTCACCTGCCCTCAACTTCTCGTTAGACCCTCCACACATCGAAACTAGCTCCTTGAACTCGGAAGAAACACTTTCACAGATGATGGCTTTTCTCCCAGATATAGACTTGGCTATATCCATATGTATTGGATTTCGGATTTCAGACATCACCTGGCCAATTACAAACTCATAGTTCCCTTTAAACCGGGTTTTCAGTTCATCCTCAGGTGTAGCCAAAAGCTTTTCTGTATTACCATTGCTGATACCTGATACAATAGCAATCAAAGCTGTGGTATCAAAGTTGATGAGAATGCCATCTAATTTCCCATTATATGGTGAAATCATTTGTGAAAGGAGAGTGTTGAAAGAGCCACCCAAATTGACATCACTGGCCTTAACAGAGGAGTAAGCCACGAGGGACTCTTTTGGGACATGAGGATTCACATCTCGAGGGGAATCAACCTTTATCTCAAGTACAGATGCATGGTGATAAGATCTTGCAAGAATATCTATCCACTCACCTCCTAGCTCCTCGGAGAAATTGAAGTCAAAATTAGAAAATTTTGATCCGAGGTCAATGGCTCCAAATTCGCTATGAAACTTCTGGCGTGTGAACCCATCAAGCCCATTTGAGAAGAAAAATATTAAGGAAGTAGGTTTTAGTGTTACAGAGTAGTGAGCCACTTCAAGAAGAAGTTGAACTCTAGCTCGTAAACCTTTCTTTTTAGAAGACTCTTGTTGCCCGTACCAAGATACATACTTTGGGTTCCTATCAGATACAATAAACCAAACTGGGCTTCCATCAAAAGTGCAAACTATATCAACATGGGCACCTTTTGAAGTAGTGCTATGGATCCCACTTTGTGTTGACGGTGGGACCAGGATTGTCTTGCAAACACGCGGCACTCCGGATATATTTGGGTGCTTAAGGATGTGGACCACTGCCTCAAGATGGCCGATGTTGACACAGATGGATGGTTCAGAATTTGGAGTGAAGTCAGTTGATGAAAAACGAGAAAGGAAAGAGAGCTCTGACTGAATCAACCTGAGTAGAGTACGCTTGCAAGACAGACTCAGGTGTAAAGCTTCTACTGCATCCATCACAGCCTCACATCGCTTTTTTGCTTCTTCAACCGTTGCACCTAAAGTGCCGAAATTGTCACGTTCCTGATATACATCCATTTGATTTCTCTATATCACTCTAAAGAACCAGTAGAAGTTGCTTTTTGAAGAATATAACAGCCACTTCTTTACAAACACTTGAATCTTTGATTAAGTTTCAGATTTTGCTTCTTCCAATCTAGAAATGGGCAACAAATATTTGACGTCAGCACACTGCTAACATACTTATATGAATAATGATAGTTTTGACACTGGCATGACTTTATGAGTCTATGAGATTGACAACAAGATTGAGAAATTACAAGGGATGGAGCTTCTGAAGATCAACCAAACATACCATTTTTTGTAACCATCAGATTTGAACTCAATAAGCAAAATATATAACTGGTTTTTTCAGTTTGACTGTTTGAGTACCTCAACAAGAAATTTAAGCAATCACATTCTCACAGCACTATCAACTTCATCCTCTCTGCCCTATTGTCATCCTAAATGACCATATTAAGTCGAATCAAGTTAGTTTAATAGTCAATGAATTAGAAACTAATGATCACTACTTGTGAACCAAATCAAAGGTCAGGAATTATCAGAAGCTTAGACTTACAAGACCAGGTATTTCAGAAAAAAGATTTATGGCATCTCATCTCCATTGGAGGACGATGTAATCGATATGGTGGTTGTGCAAAAAGTATGTGATTGATGATTTCCTTGTTAGGGTATGCAAATTACAAAAACCATGAAAATGTTAGCAATCAATTAGCAATGATTTTGGTGCATAACACGCCCTCTATATCTGTTGTTGCATAATTTATAATCGAGTAAAAAATGAGCTTTTTTGTTGAAACTTTTCCAGGATGGAAGGAGTATATTCTAGAACCAACCAAATTCTGGTTGATTTCAATCTTTAGGGTTTCATAAAACGAATTGCTAAAGGCAAATTGAATCTCTGATTGTGGAAGCTAGGTCAGTTACTACATCAAACTAATCGAAACACAAACATCACTTCAATCAGATCAACAGAAATGGATGCACTTATGCGAATTAAGACAATATTCTGATAACTAGAAATCGTCCATAATAAACTAATAATTATGAATTTGGGGTTTAAATTGAGAAATTTGAACTAACCGGGGATCAATTTAAGAGATCCTGTCTCTTCATTATACATTGTCCCAGCAACTAAAACAACACAGAAACCCTAATTAGGATTTCACCATCTACGGGATAGAGCGAGAGCGTGTTTCGGGTGTGCCGTTTGTTACTCATGTTTACAACCATACTTGGGAAGTTGGGATGGTTCTCGTTTTTTGAAATAAAGAATTAAAAACTAAACATTTTTGTATGAGATAGGGTTGTTTCTTGGTTGGTGAATGATTTAATACAGAATGATTTGGTAGTTTTTATAATATAGTTTAAAATAAAATATAATTGTTTGATAATTATTTATTATAAATTAAGGATGTTAAATAGTTAAGGGAGATTCATGATACAAAATCATTTAGAGGATTTTGAAACCGTTAAAAGACAAACTTTTTTTGTTAAACAAAATTCATCTTTTATCAGAGACTGTCTCTTAATGAAACTATTAAGAGGTAAACAAACAACCCCTAATAGTTGTTCATACATAAATAAAAGAAACACGATACTAAAATACGAAAACGATTAGATATCAAAAGCATAAGCTTATTTAATACCAAACATATCGCGATAGATTGTAGATACATGACACTCATCTTCTGTGAGAGAGGAAGGGGTTATTTGTTTCCTCTCAATAGTTCCATTAAAAAGCAGTCTCTGAATCATTAAGAGGTGGATCTTGTTTAACAAAAAAAATATGTATCTTAATTATTCTGAAACCCTCTGAATGTTTTTGTATCATGGGTCTCCCTTAACCATTTAGCGCCCTAAATTCGTTGTAAATAATTATCAAACAATTATATTTCATTTTGCACTATATCATGAGAGTTTTAATCATTGTGATCACTTAATCATTCTGTATCAAACTATTCAATAACTGTCAAACAGTCTCGAAGAAAGTAGGCAAAGACGAGAAATTTGATTAATGCAGAAGTTAAATTGTCAAAACATTAGGTTGTAAATTTATAGATTACAATATTAATTATATTATTAAAATATTTAATAAAATATTATTTTTTTCTTTTAAACAGTTAATTTCACCGATTGTTATCAGTAAGAATAAATAAAAAATCATTTTTAGAGAAAACTTCAAATTTAGAGAATTTTACCACTCTATCTTACTTTCCTATTTTGGAGAAAGTTTTAAAAAATATGTTAAAACAAAAAATTAGTTCAAAACATTCATTTTCTCTATCTTAGGTATTTATAAGAAAGAAGTGTAGGTTCTTATAAGAACTAATGGACTGCTACCAAACGCTTACCCAGGTAAGTGCTTACCAAGTAACATTACCTTACCGGATGAATATAGTAAGGACCAAGAATCTTACCCGGTAAGAGCGAGACAAGGATCAAGAGTCTTATCCAGTAAGTGAGGACGACGACTCATACCACGGTAAGCGTTTACCGCATAAATTGTTGTATACTTTGTCGTTTTGGTGGACTAAAATCTTATCCGGTAAGTACATAATAGTGTTAAATTTTACCCGTAAACACTTACCGAATAAGTGTTTGATAAACGGCCCCTAAGTTCTTAGAAGAACCACCATTTGAGAGAGTTCTTATAAGAACCGCATATCATTTGAGTTCCTGCATAAAAACTTTGGTTCTTACCTTGAACTTAGTCTGAAGTGATATTTTTATTAGTTTTTATGTGTTATTTTGACTTTTATATGTAACACCCTCAATTCCGGAAAGAAAAAAAAAACTGACTAATTTAAAATTTTCAATAATACAACAAATAAAATCCCTTACTGTAAATCAATACTTAAATTAACTCGAATATCAAATCTAGATTTAAATTTGACAATTTATAAACCAAACCTTACATGAAGACTAAGGGGTTGTTCGTTTCGTTTTCTATTAAAATATGAAAGTTGTCTGTATGATAACATATAAATTATTGTTCAATTGTTATGCTAAATAAATTGTTTGAATAATACAAATTACCATTTTACCCCCTATTTTTTTTTTCATTTGAACCCAAATAAAACCCTCATTTCTCTACATCACTTCATCAAACACCTTACACATTAACCAAACTTCCTTGCCTAACATGTCTCTTCTTGTTTTTTCTTGAAACCCCATCAAAACTTGCATTAAAGGACTTTATGAGAAATATTGTAGAAATTAAGATAAAAATCAAAAAATAAAAAATACTTAACAAAAAAAAACCCCTGATCGGCAAAGAGTACCTTTTTGGGGTAAAAACTTGAGAATTTCAAAAGAAAAACTCGTTACAGAGGTAGATCGGCAAATGTCGGAGAATTTTTGGAAATAAATGTTTATAGGAATCCAAATCGAGATTGACAGAGGGGGGGAAAACTTGTTTCAGCAGCATCAGATCGGGATCAAGGAGAGAAAACTCGTAACCAACAACAACAAACTGAGATGAAGGAGAGAAAATTTGTAACCAGCAACATCAAATCCATATATAGAGATGGAGAACAAAGGATGTAAATAGAGAGAAGGGAGAGGGAAGGAGTGCAGTTCGGGAGGCTATGGAGGAGGATGAGAGAGCGACATATATCCAAAGGCAGTGATGAAAAATGAACGACTGAATACAAAGGACACAAGTTTTTTAGTTGAGCGATTCAGCCATGGGCTAAGCGAATAAGCCTATACCGAACAACTAGATATGGTTGTGCTAATAAGCCATATCCATTATACATCCCATTAAGCTCTTACCAAATAGCCCCTAAGCCAAGGTCGGGTGTTACTAAAACACAATAATGGTCGTTATCTCTAAATGCGGAAGACGTCACCTAATAGGTGCATTTATCTAGCACTCAACTCATCAGTGTCGCTAGTACCAAACCACAACGAGTACCTGATGCACATGCCGACAAATAAAAATGTTAGGTTTAATGCCTAGTGAGTTCAAGTAGTTTTCATCATAATTATAAAAAGTACAACTGAAAGTCTGGTTATTTTAAACATGAATTCTCAAATGAAATTTATTTATCTTAAAAGCAACTTCTTTTCAAAACGACTGTTTTCATGATGAAAGCTTTAAATCAAAATACACATTCAATATAAATTGAAAACCTACACTCACTCTAGAAACGTAAATAAGGTTTAATGTCCAATTATTTTGATCATGGATGAAAAACTCTATTATTCAAAATGCCTCAAAAACGACAAATAAGGTTCAAAACCCAATACTACAAATATTTGGAGAACTCCATATTCGAAAACAACGATGAAAACAAGGATAATATCATATCCGAAAATAACACCATTTGGTGACAGGGAAGACCCGCATCCATCAATTGTGTTTAATGCACAAGTAAGCCATAATCAACGTTAACGAGCCTCAACTAGGGATCATACGGTCATCAAGTTTAATTTTTGCAGTTTGTAGTTTGAGTCCCTCGTTGATTGCCTAGACGAGATCTTTTGCTAGAAATGACAGCCACTAACGGACTACACGGTCATCAAGTTCAACTCTTCGAGTTTGTACCTCAAATCCCCGCTACCGATTATATAGTCATTGAGTTCAACTATTTGAGTCTGTACCTCAAGTTCCCTGTTACGTTCATAGTCTCTAGCAAGAATACATGACAATGGTCTTATTACAAAACATCAACTGACCCTCATGCCCATGGATCCATTGCATTACAGTGTAAAATTATGCGACACTAATTGAATGACTAACAAACCTAAAACATGTAATATATCAAATCAATATGTCATGACTGCATATAAACCGGACGAACGTCCCCTAAGACATATTTGAGTGAAAACCAAGCCAAAGACTCAACAACACGGTTGACTATTCAATAAAAGTCATAGTAAACAATAAAACGTGTTTAACCGATGGTTATGTAAACACATACTCAAAAATCCATTATTTTATCTTCTAGGTGAAATCATGCCATTTAACTCTAGAATACTTTATAACACAATAAAGTGTATTTTCCAAATGATTTATAAAATAAAAGACAATTAGAGTGCATTAACATCAAAATCTTCATTTATGAATAAATCATCAACATATCACGCTCTCAAAATTTATTTACCAAAGAGTCCAAAAACTGCAAATACGGTTTTAGGTATTTTGTAGGCTATGATTGGTAAAATACTGGATAAGATAATTGTTGACTGATAAATTGGTTATTAGTTAATAGATTAGTCATTTTTAACAAAAAAAAAAATAGTAAATAACCTATAAACTTTTATTTTAAACAAATAAATCATTAAACTTTTTAAAATTGAAATCAAATAAATAAATTCTTTTTCTTTCTAAAATCGAATAAAATTAACAAACTTTCGTAGTTGAGCGATTAAGTCCTTGGAGACTTTTTTTTTGAACTAATAATCCTTATACTTATAAAACGAAAGTAATAGTGAAAAGTTCAAAAAAAATCCAACGAACTTTTTCATTTTGAATGATTAAGTACCTGAACTATTTTTTTGAATGAAAAAATTATTAAACTTTCTTATTTTTAATGATCAAGTCCTGAACGTTTTTTTGAATAAATAAACCATTGAACTTTTAAAAGTGGTTACCTAAATCATTTTAACCCGAAAAATGTATATAACCGATAAGGAATGTTTTAAAATTATAAAAAAAACCTAGATCAGTTTTACCTTTCCTAAATCCTACGCCATCAAACTTTTGCTCACAATGGCATCGCTCCCCTTTGTCACTCATTGTTGTCCGTTCTCCATACCATCCATCGCTGTCATTGATCCCTGCCAGCGGTCTCTCTCTTTTTGATTTGTTTTTTTCTTCTTTTGATTTTCCCTCTTTTACAATAATTTAATGGACCATGTATAGACATGTCAAAGAAATGGAGAACCAAAAAGCAAAAAGAACACAATCAAAAGGAGGAAGATCGATGGCATAAGCCAACGACAATGATAGACAATAATAGAGAGCATACGACGATGAGGATACGAGGGCGACGAGAGATTTGAATGACGTAAGATTTGAATGGTAAAACTAAAATACGTTTTTACTTTAAAATATTCTTAACCAGTTTCAGGTAGTTTATTTTTGTTTATATGATGTAAATAACCAATTATTTAAAAGTTCGATGGTTTGTTTATTC